AACCCCTCGAGCCACCCGAACGAGCGTGGCAACGGGTGACGATGGATTTCGTGACGGGGCTTCCAGCTGGCACGAGTGGCAACAACTCGGTGATGGTCGACGTTGACCGACTGACGAAAATGACGCATTTCGCACCATGTCGCACGACGAACATAGCCGAAGATACTGCAAAACTCTTCATCTCCACCGTCGTACGCCTACACGGGTTACCTTCGGCGATCATCAGTGATCGAGATCCGAAATTCATGTTGAAGTTCTGGCAGAAGACGTGGGCACAGTACGGCACCTGCCTGCAGTTTTCGTCGTCATACCACCCGCAAACCGACGGACAGACAGAACGGACAAACCAAACCATGGAGCAGCTAATTCGCACCAACTGCCCGGACCTGAGCAAGTGGGAGGATTCGCTGCCAATGCTAGAGTTCGCGTACAACAACGCACCTTCGGCTACGACCAAACAGTCGGCCTTCTATCTTAATTACGGGATAGACCCCGTGGTACCCTTGTCAACGACCCTGGACAACCCGGTACCATGCTCGTGTTATAGACACAGTAGGCTCCAATGTGCCTAGAACCAAAGATAGAGTGCGCAATCAGATTTCCGCACAGCGGCTTTAAACGTTCATAGCGATCTGGTCACAGCTCAAATTGACCTCATTTAACTTGAATTTGGAGCGTCATAACGTCGCCTACAATAGGCAATTTAAATCGCACGATTTCATCAAGAATTGACGACACAGCGTCAGATTGAACGAACGCCACTATGGCAGCAACATAGTCTTAGGACACAATTACGAACCACTAGGAAGAGTTACGAGTTGGGAATGACTCCCAGCTCCTACAAACCCCAAGAGCCGAGTTACAGTGATGGGGAACAGTGCCACACTGCCCCCAACCAAGAAGGGTCTCGAAACTACCCTCCACAAGGGCCTACACCCATGGAAATGTTACACTACACATTGTAATGTAACAATCTTCAATATCTTGAGGTGTACCCTTTCGGCGAGCTTCGAAATCACTTGAAGCTTGCAACCAAGGCTCGGGTTCTTCATCACAAACTCATCCTCGAGTTCTTGATGGGTCTGCTGCACACACCTGCGACACGCCGATTCGACAAGCGACAAAATAGAAACCGCGCACGACAAAATAGAAACCGCGCGGGACACACAAAATGACCGCGTAATACGCGGCTAGCGATAACTCGCTATTGACTCGACACACACACTCGACATCATGACCCATTATTCACACATCATTATAAGCATGAAATATGTATTTATTTCATGCACACATACCACTCCATGCACACACGCATGCACGCACACGCACACGGACAACAAGCCGAGTGCAAACCGTAGGGTAGCACCAACAAACTCCCCCTCGGGTTGTTGGCCATAGAATTTGCTCCTCTCAGTTCAGAGCCATCCCGGCCAGCTTGCAACACTTCCAATGCTGCTGCTCCACCAGCCTCTTAGTCATCATGTCTGCCGGCTGCCCCGTCGTCTTCACGTAGCGCAGCTCAACTTCACCCGTGGCCACCATGCTCCTTGTCCAGTGCCACTTCACCCTCATGTGTTTGGTCAGGCCGTGTAACACAGGGTTCTTGGCTAGAGCTATGGCTCCCTGGCTGTCACAATAGAGAGGGGAAGGTCCTTGCTGCTCCTCCCCCAATTCAGCCAGCAAACGCCGCTGCCACACAATCTCCCTTACCGCACGGAAGAGTGCCATGTACTCGGACTCCACCGAGCTCAAAGCTTGATCAACCTGCTTCCACGTCAGCCTGCTTCGCCCATACATCCCAACCACGAGCCAACTGCCTCGTCACCGACCGCCATCCATAACTCGCCCTGCATCGGAGCCAATCATCGAGCCCGAAAAAATCATGAGCCATCGCTTTTGCCACCCGACGGGCATCAAGAGGATTGAATTCCTCGTACGCTGGAAGGATCGCACACCAACTGAGGATAGCTGGGTGCCCCTGGCCAACATCGAAAACCACCCTGCCCTGCAAGTATACCTGAGGAGCCGGGGATTCCGCGATATACACGCACTAGCGTAGCGGAGGGGGCTTCTTGAGGGGGGGGGGGTGGGGGGGGGTTGGGGGGGGGGGGGGGGGGGTAGTGTAAGGAATTTTCTCTCCTTTCCTTACGGAGCCCTGCTACATCGTGTACAGCAACAGCCGTTGTTCGCCCGGTACTGCTAACGGGGCTTCGCCAACTTCGCGCGTACTGTTTTGCCAAACCACGCACTGCTGGCCCGGCCGTGTCGGCCTACGCTTCGGGACTAGCCCGAACCTCGCTGCCAACGTAGCACTAGCTAGCTCGCACGCTCCGCGTTACCGTTTGCATGTTTCGCGTATAAATGTTCGCTCATGCCTTCGCTCACATTTTGTACTCGTTTGACACCTTAGTGCAATCCTCGCTACCTCGATCCATTCCACCCGTAACACCGGTCCACCTACGACCCGTGAATAGTCATACTCTTGACGAGCACTTACACAAACTCTACTTTCTACCGTCGCAAAACTTGGCAGCGCGCGTCGCCCTTTCAATGCCAGTCACCCTAAGGACGCGTCACAATTGCGACATCGAGGGAGGATCGCGGTCACACACCGACCTGTGAGAATCGATCTCCCCCGAGCCAGATGTGTCGCGATCGTCTTCAGGTTTGACAGTTTGCGGGGTTAGAAGCGTGTTTCAAAGTTGTTAATGCAATATGTATGATTTGAGTGCGGTGACAGATCAATTTAAAGTGACATCGCGTTTGGTGACTTGTGTTGGGTCCTAGCGAACATTAACGAAAAAGGGAAACAAGCCACAGCGAAGTACTGTACACCCCAAACATCGATCTCCCGCAGGATCGGTGTTGCAATTGTGACGCGTCCTAACTGTGCAGTTGCGCGTAATGGTAACCCGGTTTTGGGCAAACTGTACAATTGCGCTCGTCCAGACGGCCACTGTAGATTGCATCTGCGGACCGAACAAAACATAGTCCGAAGGTGGTTCGCTAGGCTGGTCCACACTGGTCCGGCAGACCAGTCCAGGGCATTTCAGGATGACGATTTTCATCGGCGGACCAGCAAGGGGCGGACCCGCGGACCAACCGAAGTGAGACACGTCCTGATACCCGAGTTCCCAGCTCGGCAGTTCGTCTCGTAACGAAATGGGGGAGGGAAGCTCGTAGGGATTCCTACTGTTACGAGTGCAATTGAGTGAGCGAGCGAGAATTGCACTATCGAAGCAAGAGTACAATGAGCGAAGGCATGAGCGAAGAATATATAGCGAAACTACAGTGGTAACGGTAATGGACTGTGGTTGTCGCGCGACGGGACTGGGACTGAGGTTGGGGAAAATGTCGAAGCGGAGGCCCGGAGCGCGGGTTACCCGCCGAGCCGTGAGGTCGGGGTGCGACGTGCGAAGGTGGCGGGAGGATTGTCGATGCGAGGGTCGCGAGTGGTAGGTGTAAGGAAAAGGAATTTTCCTTACACCTACCTATCCATGCACAATTTCTTTTCTTCTTTCGATCATAGTACCTCGTGATTCCAATCGATCAAAGAGGTTTGATTTAGTCCGTTAGATCGTCCTCTCCCCAATGACGACGTCCATCGCCGTGCGACACACCCCACAGGCGTCGCCGCCACTCGCTCAACGGCGTGCCGTATCCCGGCCGACGCGTGTCGTCGCTCTCTTTTCTAGGCGAGAACTAGCCATCCGATGCCGCCACCAATCGCAGCAAAGCGTTTCATTGCGACGACCGGGTCCCGCGTCTAGGCGGTCCGTGCGGGCAGCGGCGGCGGCGGCGGAGGGGAAGGATGGGGAGGCGCAGCTGTCGGCGGAGGAGGCGGAGGAGGCGCAGGACCTGAGGGACATTCAGGACATCGTCGAGGTGATTCGCGCTCGCCTAGGCCGTTCACGACATTCGCGACATTCGCGACATTAGTGCCAGCTGCGAGCTCAGATATGGGCGGAGGTTAGGGTTGCGAGTGCAGGGTCTTGCCTAGTAGGGCCCTCAATCCAACTCTCCTTAGTGGACCCCTCCGCCGAGCCGCTCTCGCCTCCAACCGGCGCGTTCCGTGCTGCCCGTGCGTCTTGCCATTCCGGTCTCACCTTGGGGTCGCGCTTGCCGTTTTGAGCCGTGCGGTTCATTGCATGCCTCGAGCGCTACCTGCTGCACCATGCTTGCATCTGATTCGCCCATCCATTCCTCTCTGTGCGTGCGTGCGTGCGTGCGTGCGTGCGCGTGTGCGTGTGCGTGCTGACGTGGCAGACCATCGAGTTGCTCAAGGAGCGTCGCGACATGACGGTGCAGGAGGTGCGTTGCCTAGTCTCGCGACTCACATTGTGTCGCCGTCATTGTCCGTGTTTGTCCGCCCATGGCCGTAACTTCCTTCCTCGTCCGTCCGCACTCCTCATTGTCCGTCGTTCGCGCGCTCACATTTCACCGATCTCTCCGCCTTCCGCGCACCGGCTGGCGTCACGCGCCAATGAGCAGATCCGGCTGGTGCTGATGATCGAGGACCCAATTCACTCACTTCCCTGCGCGCCAATCTCCGCGCCAATCACCTCACTGCGCGCCAATCTCCGCAGATCCGGCTGGTGCTGATGATCGAGGACCCGCGCGAGGCGGAGCAGCGGCGGCAGATGGGCATCGAGAACGAGAGCGGGTGCTCGCGCGACGAGATTGCTGATGCCTTCCGCGAGGTGTGTGGGGGGGATGGGGGGAAGGGGAGAGGTTGGGCCGGGGGTGAGGAGAGGTGGGGGAGTGTGTTGGGGGCGGGGGTTGGTTACTGAGGAAACTGTGGGGCTTTACGCTCCGATGCCTTTCGAGGAGGGGCTGCGGTGAAGAGAAGTGGTGGGGGCGGGGTGTGGGAAGAGGGCGGAGAGAGGTGAGGGGGTGGGGGCTGGTTGGTGAGGAGAGTGTGAGGGGGGTGCACGCATGCACAACGCTCGTATTCTGCTCGTCAAGTCCCCACCCCTGCCCGCTCCGCTCCATCCTTTGCCATGCAAGTGTGCACACCGCGCGTCATCCTCCACCCTCAACCCCTCGTGCACACCTTCGTGCCCTTTCCCCTCTCCCCCCCCCCGTCTCCTCCGTGCCCCCCATTCACCCCTGCCCTCTCCGCTCCATCCTTTGCCACGCAAGTGCGTCGTCCTCCACCTTAACCGCTCGTGCTTCGTGCCCTTTCCCCCTCTCCCCTCCCCCTCCCCTCCGTGGCCCCCATCCATGCCATGGGTGTGCGGCAGGTGTGTGCCTGCGGACCGCATGGTGCTGCGCAAGCTGGCTTTGAGACGTTTCCCCCCCTCCCCCTCCTCCCTCTACCCCCCCTCCCCCCCCCCGCCCCCCCCCAACCCACCCCTCCCCCCCAGGTGTGTGAGGACCGCGTACCCGCAGACCGCATGGTGCTGCGCAAGCTGGCGCAGGACATGCGCGACTGGCCGCGCCTACGGGTGAGTGGGGGTGGGTGGGGAAGAGGGGACTAGGGGACTGAGGGGTGATGGGGTAGGTGATGATTACGCAGGGCAGGACATCCGCGATTGGCCGCGCCTAAGGGTGAGCGATGGGGAGGTAGAGGGATACAGGGCATATGGAAGGGTTAAGAGGCGATAGGGGGAGCATGGTGGCAAGGGTTCAGAAGGGTGAGGTCTAACAAGCAAGAGGTGGATTTTTCTCCTCTGTCTTGTGTCGCCACTTCCCCCATAGTTCCCTCCCACCTGTCTCCCCCACGCTTCTCCCCTAACCCTCTCTCCCACCCCTCCCCCACAACCTTCTCCCTTGCGCCTCTCACTATCCCCTCTTCCGTCTCCAACACCACTCTCCATCACCTTCTCCTCACCTCACCCCTCTTCACGCCACTGTGCCAGGAGGAGCCAGGCGTGGAGGAGGAGGCAGAGGGACCCGGAGGGCAGCGCAAGTCGCGGTACGCGCAGATCACGGACGTGGGGCTGTAGGGCCGCCCCGACCGTGGAGCACAGGCCAGCCCTGCCATCATGTGTGAGTGTCGGCTTGGCACCTTGTTGCGAGGATGAACTGGGGAATGGGCCTGGCGTCGAGCTGCTCACGCTACAGACACCGCACTTCCTCACGGGCCTGCTGTCCGCTCTTGCCCAGGTCTTAAGTTTGTCACCTCGTGGGCAACGCAAGTCCCTGTACGTGTAGATCACGGACATGGGGCCGGCCTGTAGGGCGGCCAGCAGCGGCCAGCACAGTAAGGCCAGGCTGGCACCTTGGCCGGGTCACTCAGCGGGCAGCGCAAGTGGCTGGAGGGCAGCAGCTGGCACTGCCCAGCCATCTTCGCATGCCGTCACGTGTGAGTGCCAGCCTGGGCGCGTCTGCCCCATCTTCGGGCAAGGCAGGGGCACGAGGGGTAGTGTGGGTGGGTCAGGTAGGGACAGGACGTGCAGCGGGCAGGCTGGCTGCAGCAGGAGCCACTGCCCATGCTTGCCGCGAGTGATTGGCGCGATGGACGTGAGGGGTGTGTGGGGTGTGGCAAGGCCGGGCAGCAGGTTACCAGCCCGGGGAGCTGCCTCATGGCGTGTGGACTGCACCGAGAGCAGCTTCGCAAGGGCAGTGGGGCCACGGGTGTGCAGCTGTGCGGGGATGCACGACAGGGCTAACATCTGCCAGCCTGTTGGCCTTGGCGTGGAGCACGTTGCTATCTCTGCGTTAACGGAGTACCCATGTTGGAATAGACCCTTGAACAGAGGGTTCCTCTTGTCGAGCTGGATACTTGCTACATGACCGGGGCGGCTCAATGCGTCAGCTTTGTTGTGGAGCCCGGATTTGTAGAAGATGTCGTAGTGGAAGTGGGTCTCCAAGAAGTCCACCCACCGCACCTGTCGTCGTGAGAGAGTTGGCTGTGACTTCAGGTATTTGAGGTTCCAGTGGTCCGTATAAACTGTCATCTTGGCTCCCTCTAGGTAACACCTCCATGCCTTGAAGGCTACGACTATGGCAAAGGCTTCCTTGTCGTGGATGGGGTAGTTCAGTCCTGCTCCGTGTAGCTTCTTACGGAGGTAGGCAATAGGTTGTAAACTGCGTCCGTAATCCTGCATCAATACTGCATCAACAACGCACGAAATCATGGATTAGACAAGCAGCAGGCGTCATGGTGCTTGCTGACGCCAGGCTCTCAGATGATCATACCTTCTGGAAATCTCTTAACCAACCCAACATCTTAGTCGCCTCACCAACCACCAAAGCCGGGGGAGTGGCTCTCATCTGCCGCAGACCTGGCCCGTCCCTGCACAATACGCTCATCCACCCATCAGGAAGACTTGTCGCAGCGGAAGTCCGTCTTGACTCTTTCTGCATCACCTTGATGGCCGTCTACTTTCCGGTGGATGCAGCCGAAAGAAAGGTTTTCGTCCGCAGGACGCTGGGCCCGGTGGTTGATTCGGTGCAGCCGGGTACACACCTGCTTGTCTTGGGGGACTTCAACCTGGTAGAGGACCCGCTGTTGGACAGGACATCGAAGAAAGGCTCAGCAAAAGAGAATGATGAGTTGTATCAACAGTGTTGCACTTTCAGCATGTCGGATGCTTTCAGGGTGCTGCATCCTTATACGCGAGAGTTTACCTTTTACTCATGTGCTAACCAGTCTAGTTCGCGGATTGACAGAGCCCTAAGCGCTGCTGTCACACGTGGAGTTCGCGACACACATTATGCCGGCGGACCCGATCTCTGACCACATGCTCGCAGTGAAAGCCGCTTTCAGGATGGATACGCGGGTGCAGCTGGGTCCCGGGCTTTGGAAGCTGCCTGTATGTGAAGAAATGAGGAATGAATGAACTAGCAAGCAGGTGGGTACAAGTAGGAAAAACCTAAAAGTGTTGTACCCCATATTGTCTACCCCACTACAGCCTACACAGACTATAGCATATGAGTTTGACACACCCCCATAGGCAAAGTGGGGGAGAACAAGAGGTCACAAGACCAGTCAAGCAAAGCAAAGCAAGCTCAGGGTGGATCACAACGTCACCACACATTCCGAGCACAAGTTCAAGGCCACAAGGCCAGTTCACAAGCAAGATCATATATAAAGGTAAACAAGCAAGTGCAGGTATAGAAAGATCACAGTACAAGCAAGGTCAAGAAGTGAGCAAGTGAGGCCAAGTAGGCACAAGACCTAGCATCGTACAGAAGCGCTGATGATCACAAGGCGGAAGTGCCATGGTAAAGATATCAGCAGTGTTGGCCTCAGAGGCCACGTAAGCAAGGCGCAGCTGACCACGCTGCTGCAGCTCACGAGCAAGGAAGTAGCGAAGAGCAATGTGCTTCGTTCTGTGCTCCAGTCTGTGCTCTCGACACAAGGCCAGCATCCGGGTCTCCCTCAGGGGCAATCAGCGTGGACACGAGATGAGGCAAAGCAGCAGCAAAACACTGGAACTCCTCCTGCCTTTCCTCAAGGACGTCCGTGCTAAGAGCACACTCACCCCCGACGGACGGAGGACAGACAGACTCAGACTCAGCAACAAGACTAGCAGCGTAGTCTAGACGACAGCGAGCAGCAAAGTCGACAAGCTCAGCAACTAAGACAGACGCAGTAGTGGAATCAAAGGAAGGGTCAGTGACAACAGTAGCTAGGAGACGCGTGACAGTAGGACTGGCAGCACGACGAGAGTCAGACTCCGGGTCAGCAAGGACAGGAAGAGAGGACTCTGGAGGAGACGGCAACGGGACACGCAGAGGAGCAGTGGACGGACGCAGTGCCATCTGGTGTGTGCCTGGGACCGCAGGAGGACGCGGACGCGGAGCATGACGACTAGTGCGAGCAGCACAAACAGGCGACGCAGGACAAGACGCAGGCTCACGACGCTCAGCAAGACCTCCAGTAGGACCAGTATAGGGAGAAGGAGCAGGTAGGGGGGAGGCGGGCTGTAACTATGACCGCGACTGGACAGGCTGTGGACACTCTAAGGGAGGAGCAGGACCAGTAGAGGGCGGGAGACCAAGAACCTGCTCAAGGAGCGGAACGAAGTACGGCCGCGGCCGCGTAGTGCCTCCAGAACCAGCAGGGACAGCACCAGTACCCCCAGCGGCAGCACCAGCGCCAGCAGCACCTCCAGCTTCAACAGCGCCAACTCCAGCACCCTCAGAAGCACCAGCGCCAGCAGCACCTCCAGCGTCAACACCCCCAGCAGCTCCAGCTCCAGAAGCTCCAGCTCCAGCAGCACCAACTCCAGTAGGACCGTCAGCTCCAGCAGCCTCAGCAGCACCCCCAGGCCCAGCAGCTCCAGTACCGCCAGTACGAGCACCTCCAGGACCAATGGCTCTGGTAACTCCAGTGCCGACCCCAGGGTCAGCAGTAACAGCAGCACCTCCAGCTCCAGCAGCACGGCTCCAGCGCTGGGCAAACCACTCGCGCAGCTCCTGTGGAGAAGGTAGCTCCCGCCTCGACGAAGCACCGCCAGAGGCCACACGAGCAGACCCAGCACCCCCAGGCTCAGCACCTCCAGGCTCCGCACCCCCAAGCTCCGCACCCCCAGGCTCCGCACCCCCAGGCTCAGCACCCCCAGACTCAGCACCCCCAGGCTCAGCACCCCCAGGCTCAGCACCCCTAGCAGCACCAGAGTCAACAGCTACCTCGACAGGCTCGACTGCGTCTACCTGGGACACACCTGACGGGGCAGGACCCTGAGGGGGGAGGGGGTCTACCGGGGGGGGACCTGGCGCATGGAAGAGTGGCGGCGGGGGGAGGGGCGCAGTGCGGTAGGGGAAGAGACGGTAGTAAGGAACCGACTCGTCAAACGTGACGTCCTGGGAGGACAGAACACGGCGCGAGGTGGGGTCCCACACGTCCATGTGAAGAGTCTGCAGCGGAGCCTCTGTCGGAGGAAACTCGGAGGAGTGAGGGGCGGCGCGCTGCCGCCCCTCGACGTAGGGAACGCAGGTAGGGGCAGGCCCCGGAGGGAGGGGAGGGAGGGACCGGGGGAGACCAGAGACAAGGACACGGGAGGCCATGCCTCGGAGACGAGGCAGGGAGGGGTGACCAAGGCGGTGGTGCCAGAGGAGAGTCTGGTGGGACAGGAGACGACACGAGCAGGGAGCAGACTCAGGACCAGACCTGGACGCTGCAGCAAACACCTGACTCGACGCAGCTACCTGACCAGACTCAGCAACCGGAGGAGACTCAGTAGTCAGTGTGTACAGGCTCGACCCCGGTTGACGGGTAAACGTGGCCAAGTGTCGGCCCGTCCGAGCACACGTACAGTGGGTCACCCGCTGACTCGCAGGAGTGAACTGGTCAACCCCCCCATCCTGTAGAGCAGCACCACTCACCAAGTTCGTAGAGAACGAGGGGAGGTAGAGACCTGACAGGGTGCCAGAGGGGGCTGCCGGACACGGTAAGACAGTGGAGAAGTGGGCAAGGACAGGACCCCCAGAGGGGTCCGCAAGGGAGACCGCAACCGGCCGACTAAGCGGCGTAAGCGTGGTGCGGTCTCGAAAGAAGGAGCGGGAAGCACCCGAGTCAAGGGTGAAGGTGTGCACGGCCTGAGCCGACGTGGTACCTGAGAGAGCAGACTCACCAGCACCTGGGGCAGCAGACGCACTAGCACCTAGAGCAGCAGCCTCACCAGCACCTAGAGCAGCAGCCTCAATGCCCGGGTCAGGCGGAACACACAGGTAACAGTCACCCTCATCACTAGTAGACACAGCATACATGGCAGCAAGAATAGCATCATAATCAAGATCAAAGATAGCAACCCCCAACCTCTGTAGCTCTCCCCAGCGAGGGATCTCAGTGGCGTCAGGGAACTGGTGACGCCAGGCGTCCGTCAGGCGGCCGAAGCAGCGCTGGGTGGAGTGCAAGCCCCCGCACTGCTCACCAGCGCGGTCGCCGGTACGGAGGACGTAGGTACAGGGACCAGTACCCCCACCTCGCTGACGCCCAGCGTACCACTCACGAAGCTGCTGGGGGGACGGGGACTCACGAGTGCGCTGCTGCAGC